ATGAAAGATTTACATGGAGGTCTGATGCTCAGAGAAGAGCGAACAAAAGTAGCAAACAGAAGTGATTTTATTAAATAGACGCAGTAAAGCTCACTCAGAAAAAGTCCAAGACAGGGCCCTGAGAAGTTAAGGGTCGGGCAGGGGGGCGGTCATATGGGTCTTAGGATTTCTCTGTTCTCCCTCTGTCCCTCCTACTTCAAATGGCAGGAATTTTCTTCTCCTCCTTTAGATCCTCCCACTCCAAACTGGAGCCTGCGCAGTGTGTGCCTGTAGATTGGAAGCCATACACCCGTGCCCTGAAAATTTTAAGGGTAGGCACAACCCAGGTAACTAATTTTGCCCATACCAGCTGAGTGCCCCCAGAGTAAGGTCATATAATGGTCATTTGCAGTTAACTGATCAGGGAACGCTATGTCGGGAGAAGAGGGTGAAGAAGGTACCAGGCACTACTAAGCTTTTTGGTCTGTGTATCTGGCTTCTAACCTTGGGAGAATGAGGGAGGCTCCACAAGCCTGCCTGGTTCTATGTTTTCTTCTGCTGAACTGGTCTCAGGGCCTTGTTAACTGTTCATTGTCTCTCTCTTCCGCCTCATATTTACCTATTCACCTACCCTGTCAAAACCATTCCTCTTGATATAACTGGAGTCCTTTCCCTTCCAGGTAAGGGACAAGTCATACAAAAAAAAAGAACAGCTGATTTGTCGTCAAACCCAGTTGTAGAAAACGCCCACCTGAGCCCAGCTTTGCTATAAGACTAAGGTGCTCATTCTATCTGACTCTGAGCAGGCTTCCCAAAAATCTCAGAATCTTAAGATGATTTCCCAATTCATGTATGACTGTATTTATCTTCAAGAATGTCTTGAGTAATATAACCCCCAATCACACAGACTAAAAGCACCTTTGACCTACCCTTTGACTTAATCTTCCTCGTTCAATTAACCACCAAGTTCCACCAATTAGATCTCCAAAATATCTCTGGTACTCTTCCTCCCTGCCACATTATCACTGCCTTGGTCTAGGTCTTCATTCTTGCACACTGGGGCTACTATTAGATGCTCTTCACTGGTCTCTTGCATCCAGTCCAGCTCAAATTTCTCCCTCAAATATAATAGCTTTTTTTATTTTTACAGTTGTCGTTCAATATTATTCTGTATAAATAGCTTTAGTTTTAAGAGAAGTTTTAGGTTCACAGCAAAAGGCACAAATATTTCCCATATACCTTCTGCCCCACACATGCACAACTTCGACCATTATTATCATTTTTACTTTTAAATGATGTGCCCAGAAAGTTTGTTTTACAATGGAAAGAGCAGAAATTTCAGAAAATTGAGTGGAAAGAGCTAGGAGTGATAGTATAATGTGCTACATAAGTGTATCGATTCTCTAAATAAATAAATGTATTAATTCGGGTTACGATTGCAGTTCACATCTATCATGTCACAGAATTCTTAAAACAAGAACCAGATTCAGAGTTTTGGATTCTAAACCCAGATATTTAGTTGCTCCTCTTGTACCACGTTACTGTTGTCCACCTGCTTACTGCAGCAAACAAGGTAGCCACGAAGGTAGTGCTAGAAACCTAGGAACTGGAGACTACAGAGTTTCAAGAAAAGAAGCCACTTTCTTCCCTGGAAGGAAGGCCAGGGAAATACATTCTGAGAGAGAGAGCTTGTTTCCTTCCATCTTCACAGTCATCTTCTTCAATTTAGAGCAAGGGTCCCCCAACATTTTGGGAACCAGGGACTGGTGCTATTAGAATCTAATGCCCCATCTGAGATGGCATTGAGACGGTGATGCTAACTAGCGCTGGAGAGCAGCTGCAAATACAGATGAATCTTCCCTTGCTCTCCAGTCACCCCCTGCCGTGCAGCCCCATTCCTAACAGGCAGCCGCCCAGTGGAGGGAGGAAAGGGGATTGGGTAACCCTGATTTAGAGAACGTCGATGGATTTCAATATTCCACTTTTTATATCATTTTTTCTAAGGGTACTAACAGACAATTGTTTTGGAGACCACACAGGACAGTTGGGGGAAAAAGAAACATGACAAGAAAGTCTACTTAGAATTCAGAGGTAGAAGAGCCTCTATAGAAGCCATAGGGACCAATACGGACCAAGGCTTTAGACAAGATGGTGGCTGGGACAGGACCGCTCTATCTCTCAGGGTGAAACTCTATGGCAGAGCAGAAACGTAGAACTTAGAGAAGTGAAGCTGAGGTGGGTGGTAACTCGACCACACTGGCGCTCTAGGAAGAGTGAAGCGGAAAAGCTCTCATGCGCATGTGTGTAACTGGGGAGGTGGATGGGGAGGGATGGGTTTTGAGTCAAGCGGTCCATCCTACAGTGCAAGTTTTCTGAAAAGTGTGAGTCGTTTAAGTCTACTTAAACCCGAGGTGGGGCGTTTCCTATGACGCATGCGTTATAGACAAGAAGAGAGCTACGGTGGCGTGGTCTTTTCAACATCCGGCGTATAGACGACGTCTGAGGTGGAAGGGGCGGGCAGGATTCCCAACACGCATGCGCTTTGAAGCCGAGGCGTTTCCTCCAGAGTGTTGAGTGTAGGGCTCTTTATTGCGCAGGCGCAAGGACTGTTCGGTAGGGCTAGTGGTCTATCACCGGGAGGCAAGAGGAGGTTGAAGGGATTAAAAAACCGGGTGCGCTTGCGCGTTGCCGACTGGTGGGCAGAACTCAGGACTTGTGAGGGGCGGGGTCACGTATGCACGTCATTAGATGGGTAGGTGGGAGAGAGGGTGGAGCTTAGAGAGGGTCTATGCGCTTGCGCAGTGTGGGGGTGGAGGGCGGAGGAGCTAGAAAGCACGCTTGCGCGGCTGTCACAGGGCTGCTTGGTTGGTCAGTGGGGAGTCAGCGCCTGCGTACTAAGACCCGTGTGCAGCAGCGGCGGCGGCGGTAGAGGCGGCGGCGGCGGCGGCGGCAGTGGGCTCGGAGGCAGCGGTTGGGCTCGCGGCGGGCGGACGGGGA